ATGATGATGATGATGATGATGATGATGATGATGATGATGATGATGATGATGATGATGATGATGATGATGATGATGGGCGGACCGAGCGCAGCGGAGCGATAGGGCGCATTTGTTCAATTTCCCTTCAACACCGCTTCCCCTCCCCACCACCCAGCCTCCCATCTCTCCCCCCCTTTTTTTCCCGGACACACGACGACAAGCCCGTGTGACGGCCGTGTCCCCCCACCCCACCCCAACCTCCAACTCACACACGTGCATTGATCCAATGTATTATTCACGAGCGAAACTTCAGCAACTTATCCAGCGGACATGGCTACCGGTTTGAGGAGTGACGGGCGGCCAGGTCAGCGGGAGGAGGCGGGGGCCAGCGGCGGCGGCTGTGGAGCGGAGCCGGGCGGATGCTCGGCGCGCAGGACGGCTGTCGGAGGAGACCAGGGGGGCTGTTTGAGGAGCAGCCTGAGAGCCGGCGCAGCGGGGATGCTGGCGAACTGTCTGCTGTCCGTGGCACCGCTGTTGCTCCTTGTCCGGTGCGCCGTGGCCGCAGAGGGTAAGCAGATGTAATGATGCGCTCCGGGCACGCTGGGTTTGTTGCGCCAGCCTCTTCAGAGCTGCACTGCGTGTGGCACCTTACTGTGGAAGAAAGAGAGAGGGGAATAGAGAGCACACTGGGTGGAAAAAAAAAAGGGATCTTTTGTTTTCTGCAGGCAGCGTTTTGTAAATCCACTGCAGGGTGCATGATTCACCGTGCGGACGRATGCATATGTTAAAGCAAAGATTAAAGAAATAACTTTAATCTTTAAATTATATGTGATGCTCAGGATGATCTCTTTACGCATGCTGTTGTTGAAGTGAAAATAAAAGCTGTCACTGATTGTGTCCTGAAGGCAGGATGCTCAAACTGCTCTGACATGATCCTTTAGAGGACTGTGGTGACTCGGCTCTGCTCAGCTCAGGGTTGGCTGCTGGGCTCTGCAGCTCCTCTCCTGTATGAAGATGTTTGGACTCTTTTGTTCCACTGATCTGCACTCAGCAAAGCATCTTGCATGCTCAGTCCACTCTTGGCTTTTCCTCTGAGTTGCACTTCCACAACAAAGGCTTTAAAATAGTGTGCTGGTGAGCTGCAGGGAGTTATTTTGGGGGKGGGGGTGGGGGGGGGATGCAGTGCATCTTACAGGGCAGTCTGTGCTTTTTTAGACCATCTGGGACAGAACTAATGACACACATACTGAGGTCCACTGTGGGGCTTGTTTTGGAAGGCAGCTGAGGGGAGCTTGGCCCATTTAGCTGCTCTTCAACCAACATTTCTGAGAGAGTGCATTTGGCTGCACACACACACACACACACACACACACACACACACACACACACNCACACACACACACACACACACACACACACACACACACACACACACACACACACACACACACACACACTTTTCTCTATTTGTGCCACTTGATGGCTCCTAGAACTGTCTGTGGAGCCACGGCTGAAAAAGAGAGAGAAGAAAGAAAGATAGAAAGAAAGAAAGAAAGAAAGAAAGAAAGAAAGAAAGAAAGAAAGAAAGAAAACCAAGCTGCTCTTTGCAGGTGCTGAACAAACAGCAGCTCCCTCCTCCTTCAGTCTGCAAACTGTGATGTCGCGGCTGCAGGCTCACCTCTGCTGATGCACTGCTACAGTAGCAGTCTCCTCCTCCCCCTCGGTGCCTCCTCTCCTCCTCCTCCTCCTCCTCCTCCTCCTGGCCTTATAACATCCATTCTTAAACACAAGTGCAGCAGCACCACCTGATCTGTGCCGCAAATATCTGGGAACAGAAGCATCTGAAGTCAGATTTGAAGGTCTTAGAAATAATGCAGCAAATAATCTCGTGTTGTTGAGCAGAAGCACCACCTCGGTAATTACCTGCTGGATTATAATCTCTAATTTTTTTTGGTGGTTCCTTGTAAATTAAGGTAAATAAGACAGATCCCCCTTTGAGCTTCTCCTAATAGTGATCCAATAAAAACATAACCTATCAAACACCTGAGGATATCTATCATCAGCTATTTTATTTCTGCACAGCCACGATTTGATTTTAAAGACCTATTTGCTGGGAGGCAACAGTGCCAACTAATACATTAACAGATGAACATGTACATAACCAAGCCATAAAGTCCTCGGAAAGTTCGATTGTGGCGATGCATAGGTTAGGAGAATATTTTGGAAATGCTTCTAAAGCKTTGAGTGCTGCAGGCAGGCGCAGCATGCTAATGGAAGTTTTGAACCACCTCTTCAAGTTCGAGCCGAAAAAAACAAAAAAACACCTCACATGATCGGTCATGGTCACAGAGGAGACACTCACCTGCACAAAGAACAACAATCATCTCAGCTGCAACTCATCCATTAAGTCTTTATGCTGTAGTGCTTAGATCAAAGCTGCTCTTGAAAAAATACACGGAATGGYCCTTTTTAGAGGTCGCCAAATGGTTTCGGAGAGAAAAATGACGGGGGAAAAAAAGCCTAGACTAAAACCCTTTTTTGAGCTTTTTTTATGACAATTTTGTGAAGGATCTTCCTGAAAGAATAGCAAGAAAAGCTTGAGTCCTGGTTCGCAAAGCTGAAAGGAAACACATTGCGCTTTTAAATACGTATTTTTCCACATTTAAATCATTCATTTGGAGTCTATTTAAAGTGGAACTGCAATGTTTTGGTTTGAATTCCCCCTTATTGCAATTCCACAAGCCCCTCTTTCATCCCTTTTCTTTGGTCTGTGTCAGATCAACTCACTTTGAGGCTGTCTCTTTAAATCCAAACGAGGCGCTTCATGACCCCCCGGCTTCCAGATTGGCCCGTTCTAGCTTTATAGAGGGGTTTATGACTATATAGCAGCGCAGAAATGTTTTATTTATAAATTAATTAAAAGAAATCAACAGCAGAAGACTTGTCTATCCAGCCTTACTCTGTCCTTGAGAGTCCAAGTAGACAACAGAATGTTTTTCATGGTTAAAAAATGGATTTTTCATGACATGTCTCCTTTAAAGAAGCTTCAATAACTGCAATTTTTAAAATATGGTTAATGAAGAAACAAGAGAAACACAAAAAGGGTGTGATTTTTTTCAGGTTTGCTGCAAAAGATAAAACAACACAGAAACAGCTGTAGTGAATGAAAACCTTAGTGAGAGACATTAATATCCAAACTCACTGCCATCCTTCCTAATGTCTGAACCAGAACAACCTGGGTTGTATGGTATTCGGTCCTGTGGCATTTCCCGTTTGGACCGTTCAGAGAATAGCGGATTCATTTTCACAACAAAGATGAATTGCTGTGTTTTGCTCCGATCTCTAATTTCCTAGCCTGGTAAAAACCAGCCCCTTGTTTTACACTTTGCTTCTCACAGAGGGTCTCTGGACCCTCGGCTATTGAGAAACGACTGCTTGCTGGAGGTGTGGACTCCGTTGAAGTTTAAAACGATTGGATCTGATTTTACCCAATTGCAAACGTTTGGCCGTGACGTATGTAGTGTGCCAGCTCGAACGTGAAGGAAGCTACTCAAGAAGCTAACTAAACCCCGCGGCGAGGAGAGCCACGACATCTTTGCCAGCAATAAGATGTCTTAAACATTCCTGTTGCTCCGAATTTAATCGCTCAATATTGGGAAGCCTTGTCAACACAGACTGAATTTCTTCCTTCATTTCTTCTGCTACCATTGCTAAACAGCAGCACAGAAAAATCGATGTCATCGTTCACAGCTCCGCCTCCTGTTCGCTGATTGGCTCTGTTGAAATTCGACCGGAGAAATCCACATCGATGGGAGAAAGCCCAGACGAGAGCACAGAACAGAGAATTGCGAAGGAAGTCCAGGCAAACTTCCTAGTTCTGTCATCAGGCTCACAGCTGTTAAAATGGCTGAATGTCTGACGTCAGGTTTCTCCTCCAACCACAAACCTGCTTGTTGCTCACGAGTGCTGACAGCTTGTCTTGGACAGGCGCTGACCTCACAGACTTCTGAATAAAATGCTATCCCTGTGCTGGCAAAGTCATAAAAAAAACAGCTTAAGAATCCGACCGAAAGCCATTTTCTCTTTCTGATTCAAACTCTGGGTTTTATTTAGACAGTTAATGCATCAAATGGCTTGTGTCACTCCCTGCGGTTTTTCCTTCTTTTTAAGCTTTTATACCTGAGCTTTTTTTTTTTTKTTTKTTTTGTGTGGTGCAACGTTTTTTTTCTCTTCCATTCTGCTAAAGGCTTTTTTTTTAGAGTTGCCCAGATGGTTAAGGGTCAAAATCTCCAAGGAAGGGGTTTGTAAAAGAGGAAAACTAACACTCGCTCTTGTTTTAATGTCCTATCTGCATGAGAGAAGAGATTTAGGATCATTCAGAGGGCATTTTTATTACCTTGTTGCAGTGATTTACTTGTAATTATGTTGTGGTTAAACCTTTGATGAGGATGCAAGATGTGTGCAGCTGCTCCTGTAGTGTGTGTTTGATTTCAGTCGAAATAATGTTTTAGGGTTTTTTTCCCACTCTTTTGGATTTACTGTTCGCCTGAGACTTGAACATTTGTCTTTGTGGAAAGTTTTCAAACTGTATCTCACACTTACTTCTTCAGGGTGGGGAGGTACATGTTACACAGCTTTTAATCTGCTTCTTTTTGCATCCTCCTTGTTTTGACAGGAAGACAATATGAGTTCTGTTCAGCATTAGGGAGGAGAGAGAGAGAGAGAGAGAGAGAGAGAGAGAGAGAGAGAGAGAGAGAGAGAGAGAGAGAGAGAGAGAGAGAGAAATAAAGCAACAGAGATGCAGCGCTGGCAATCCATCAGAGTGGAACGTTTGCCGTTATCCACCCCTGCTATAATTCACTCCCAGGACAATTTCAGTTTCTGTCGAAGATTTTAAAAAGTCAGACGAGAGCAGTTTTTATTTTATTTTTTATTTTTCCTCTTTCACCCTCAGCACTCTAAATAAAGCAGGCTGCACTTCTAAAACACATAAGTGATGTTTCTTCTCATTGACATCACGTATCATCTGCCTTGCATCATCCCACCTATAGTGCAATCAGGGAATATTGTTGGTGTGTGACGGTTTAGCTCTACAGTCCCCCCCGTGTTTTGCTGTACCTTTAAGCCTGTGTTCTTTTGTTTCTTTTTTTTCTGCCTGTTTGGCTGAGGCTGATGGCAGATGAAGGCTTGGCTCTGCTGCTGCCTGAGAAAGGGCAGCAGGCTGCCTGATTTATTGGTACACTGTATAACACACCACACAGCTCTCTGCACAAGGCCAGTGTTAATCACACTGCATCTCACTGGACTCTGGCAAACAGCAAAAACATAAGAACATCTAGTTTGGTTCCATCTGTTTTTTTTTTTTGAAGGCATGACAATAGTGCCGCTTGTGTATTTAATTAATTTCACACTAGATTTGTTCTCRAAAAGCCATTCGTTTGGAGTAGAAGCTCAGATAGCCTTAATTTCAAACAATGTTGTGCATCAAAAACATCCAAATGTAGAAAAAGCGGAAGATGAGCTTGGCCTGTTTTGACCCTCACAATCCTAAACACGCATAGGTCTAAT